GTGAGTTTGGCAGTATTACTTCCCTTTCTATTTCCTGGAAAAGTTTAAGGGTGTTGGTATTAGTTCTCCTTCAAGGTCTGGTTGAATTCAGCAGTGAATCCATCAGGTACTGAACTTTGCTTTTTGGGAAACTATTGCTGCTTCAATTTCATTACTTGATGTAGATCTGTTTAGGTCATTAATATCCTCTTGGATCAATTTTGGATGGTCAGATGTGTCTAGAAATTTGTCCATTTCGTCTAGATTTTCCAATGTATTTGAACATAGGTTTTTTAAAATAGTCCTAATGATTCCCTGGATTTCCTTGGTATTTGTTGTGATCTCCCCTTTTTCATTTCTCATTTTAAATGGAATGGCTCAGGTGGTAGAGCACCTGCTTTGCAAGTGGGAAGCCATAAGTTCAAACCCCAGTCCCACCATGAAAAGAACAAAACAAAACTCTTCAAACTTCATTTCTAATTTTATTATTTTTGGTCTTTTCCCTCCTCATTGTAATCAGATTTGCCAGGGTTTTGTCATTCTTTATCTTCTTAAAGAACCAGTTTTTTGTTTCATTGATTCTTTGTATGGTTTTGTTTGTTTGTTTGTTTCGATTTTGTTGATTTTGGCCCTTTTTTTTTTATTTCTATCCTTTTGTTAGTTTTGGGTTTAGCTTGTTCTTGTTTTACTAAGAATTCGAGATGTCACGTTTGGTCATTTAGTTGAGATCTTTCTGTGTTTTTAGTATGTACATTCTTTGCTATAAACTTTCCCCTTAGGGCTGCCTTTACTGCATCCCAAAGGTTCTGATAGATTGTGCTTTCATTCTCATTAAATTCCAGAAACTTTTTTATTTCCTGCCTTAATTCTTTGATGACTCTACAGATCATGGAGCAATGTGTTGTTCACTCTCCAGGTGTTTGAGTATTTTCTGCTGTTTCTTTTGTTGTTGAGTTCTAGTTTTATTGTGTTGTGGTCAAAGAGTATGCAGGGGGTTATTTCAATTTTCTTATATTTGTTAAGACTTTCTTTGTAACCTAAAATATGGTCTATTTTGGAGAAACTTCTTGGGCTGCTAAGAATGTATTGTGCTGTTACAGGATTCAATATTCTGTAGATGTCTATCAGGTCCATTTGATCTATGGTATCATTCAATTCTAGAGTTTCTTTGTTGATTTTTTTGTCTGGATGACTTATCTATTGGTGATAGAGGAGTATTGACATCTCCCACCATCACTGTGTTGGGGTCTATCTGTGTTCTTAAGTCCAGTAGTATATATTTGATGAACTTGGGTGCACCAACATTGGGTGCATATAGCTTAATAACTATTATTTCCTCTTGAGGTACTGCTCCTTTTATTAGTATGAAATGACCTTCTTTGTCTCTTCTGACTAATTTAGGTTTGAAGTCTACTTTATCTGATATAAGTATTGCTACTTCTGCCTGTTTTTGGAGGCTGTTGGTTTGGTAGATCTTCTTCCACCCTTTCACCCTAAGGCAATGTTTGTTTCTGTCTGTAAGGTGGGTTTCTTCTAAACAACAAATTGTCACGTCTCCCTTTTTAATCCAGTTTGCCAATCAGTGTGTTTTGATGGGGGAGTTGAAGCCATTAACATTCAGTGTTAATATTGTGAGGTATGTGGCAGTTCCTCCCATTTAATTATTTTTCTTGTGTAAAGGTTTGAGTGTGTGCAGCTAATTCTATGCTACTATTTACATGTCTGCTTTTCTTTTGTGGTTTAATAATTCCCATCCTTTCATGGCTATGTTTGTTTTCATCTTCTGTGTGTAGGATTCCTTTCAGAATCTTCTATAGTGGTGGTTTAGTGGTCATGTATTGTTTTAGTTTCTGTTTATCATGGTTTATTCCTCCTTTAATTTTGAGTGATTGCTTTGCTGAGTAGAGTATCCAAGGACTGAAATTGTTTTCTTTCAGTGCTCGAAAAACCTCACTCCATGCCCTTATTGCTTTTTTAAAGGTTTCTGTTGAGATATCTTTATTTTGATGGGTTTACCTTCATGTGTAATTTGATTTTTCTCTCTTACAGCCTTGAATATTCTTTCCTTGTTCTCTGTGCTAATTGTTTTAACTATAATATGCCATGGAGAGGTTCTATTTTGGTCATGTCTATTTGGTCTCTTGGAGGCTTCCTGTACCTGAATGGACATCTCTTTATTGAGATTTGGGTAATTTTCTGCTTTTATTTTGTTGAATATATTACCTATACCTTTGGCTTACACATCTTTTCCTTCTTCAATGCCCATGATTCACAAGTTTGGTCTTTTGACAGAGTTCTTACATATTCTTTTCACTGCTCTTGAGTTTTTTGTCTAAGAATTCTTCTGTTTTTCTTCTTTAATATCTATTTCATCTTAGAGCCTTGAAATTCTGACTTCCACTGTTCTAGTCTGCTGGAGTGGTTTTCAACTGTATTTTTTACTTGACTTAAGGAACTTTTTATTTCCAGTGTTTCTGTTTGATTCCTTTTTTATTTTTTTGGGAGGGGGACTTCCCATAGCTTTGTTAAATTCCTGTTTCATATCTTGAACTGTCTTTTTTATTTTATTTATGTCTTTTTAAAAATAATGTCCTTAGTTTCATTTTGGAGTTTGTTGAAATCCTTTTTGAGTTCATTTAGTTGCTTCTGTGTCTTCTTGAATTTTTTATCCATGTTCTCTTGGAATTCATTGAGTTATTTTGTATGTCCTCTTTAAGCTCATAAAACATTCTTATCATCATTCTTCTGACATCAGTAACTGAGGATTCACCCTCTTCACTTTCCACTAAATCCTCTATTGTCTTATTGTTAGCCTTTTGAGGAGTTATGTTCCCCTGCCTTCTTTTTTCCCCATGTTTCTCTCTTGTGCTTTGCTTATGTGAATTATTTAAATGCAAAAAAAATTAAATCTACCCACAAGAGTTGTTGGTTCTGTTTTTATATTTTAGAAGTTAAACACAAAAATTCAGACATCTGATGTTTTCATTCTCTTGTATTTCCTTAAGAGAATCCTTGCCACCTGACATTAGTGCCACTCTTACTTTTTACCATCCAGCCTTCAGCCTCTGACCTTCCTTGTATAAGGTGTGATAACCGTTTATTCATTCTTTGTCCATTGACTGCATTTAACTGAAGCAAGGATTCCTGCTTAGTATCTCAGTAAGCATTTTCCTGGTGAATTGTGAAATCCATTTCTCATATTAAAGCAGAAGGTGGTGGGGGAATTATTTGGAAACTCAGAAATTTTAAAGTCTACTTAGTAGAATTCCATTTACCTGACCCAATGTAGATGTTTAAAATCTAAAGTGAGCAAGAAAGGTAATTGCTCTCACTTGTGAAGCTTCCAGGGTGTAGGACAGATCCACATAGCCTGCTGTATACCCCCACCATGCCATCTAATTTAATCCTTTAAAAAAACTAGTTTATACAGTTTAAGTAGAAGATAAAAATCTAATATAGTCCTGATGCTTGACACCTCTGCAGCTTTCTTTTTTTTTTTTTAGCAGTAATGTGGTTTGAACTCAAGACTTTGTGCTTGTAAGGCAGGCACTCTACCACTTGAGCCACACTTCCAGCCCCCTCTCTGCAGCTTTTTATGCTGCTGCCCTTTCCCTCTTAGAAATGTTTCTCACTTGCCTTTTAACTACCAGGCCCACCCCATGCAAACATCATGCCCCCTTACCATGCTCTTTTGCTCCCCTCCCTCTTACCCAGTTGACTCCCAGTGTGTTGATTTCTCCTGTGCCCTGCCTTTGTATAATTTTTCTCCTTACTCTTTAACCAGCATGCTGCCCTAGACTGTATCCTTGGCTTAGATTCTTCTGTTTTCAGTTTCCCATTGGTGATTTATCTATCTTTATATCACCATCTCTGGTCCCTGGAGCATAGCAGTTGCTAGTAAAATGCTAGATTATGAGTCTATGAGTAGGCTGGCTGAAGCGGCTAAGCTCTAACTCTGTGAGTTCTAAGACACAAAAATACCTAGGACCTAAATCTGTCCATAGCACCATCAGAACAACCAGGGCATCATTTTTTCATCTTCTTGTAATTTTTATCCAACCTCATTCTCTCTCCCTCTACCCCAATAATAGTAGGTTAAAGTTGGCATTCTGTGTCTTCACTCAATTTATATTTTCCTGAGGACCCAAAGCCCTTGCTTTTGTCACTAACACAAAATTTCACCATGACATCTGTCTTGATGTAATACAACTGTCAGTAGAAGTGTTGGCCTGATTTTAATTTTCATCTCATTAGGTGGCAGGTAATACAGGGTTTGGAGGAGGAGGAGAACTAGATTAGAATCTATCTCTAGTCAGGTAAATATGGGTATTCTACCCATATCTCTGCCTCTGATCAATGAGGTTACTATACTAATGATGTGTCTTGATTAACATACTGCCCGATGTAGAGAAAGTGCTCAATGAATGTTGGCTATTATCATTAGAAGTGTGTTACCATTGTGAGCTCCTGGCTGTCAGAGGAGGAAAAGTCAGATCATATTTCAGAAGTATACATCTTTGATCTATAAGCCATGGGTTGAATCCTGCCTGTGTTAAATAGAAGACAGTTATTCAGGGCACCTCTTTTATCTACCCCCACCCAAAAAAAAAAAAAAACTATTCGAGATTTTGGGATTAAAAACATTCACTGTGTACAAATACTTGCATTCTCAGCCTCTCTATGTGGCATCTTAGGTAGTCCATATAAAGGCTAAATTTTCCTAAGCTGCAATATTTACTGAATGTGATTTGCATTTTTTTTCTCTCACTTTTGTCTGGTGTGTCTGTTTGCTATCCTTTGTTTCCTGTCTCTGGTTTGCAGATGCTCTAGCACGTGGCAGTTTTGTGCCACATCCTCTTCAGAAATGCTCATTAGGTGGTAGGAAAGCAAGTACTGAGGATTTTCTTGTTTCTTCTCAAAGCATATTCAAACACATAGGTCTGTGTTGAGGAAGTGAGGGTAAGAAAGCCTTTAATACAAGTTCCTGCACAATCTAGCACTAACTTTCTTTTCTTCTCCAGGACCTACAAATAGAACGAGAGAGGAGTTCATATAATATATCTGGTGGCTGCACAGCCCTCATTGTGATTTGCCTTTTGGGGAAGCTGTATGTGGCAAATGCTGGAGACAGCAGGTAAGCAAATTAGCTGCCTGACTCTTACGAACCTCTAATGCCTTCTTATTATATTACCTTTTCTTTAAAAATTAAAGGATTTAAAAATGAATTAATTCTGTTTGGGATATGATATTGAGAAGCACAAGCCTTCTACAGCCTAAGAAAAAAATGCATTTAAGAACAGTCAGGTTGGCATTAAAAGATAAAGGCAATCTTGTATTTGTTCATAGTAGCAACTCCTGTAGTATTCAAATGTTTTGTTTTGTTTTTTTCTTGGCTTCAGAATCTGTTTTTCAATGAAAGTTTAGAGAGGCAGAATACCAGAGTGCAGTGAGAGGGGAGGAAAGAGATTTGAATGAAGTGGGTGTTTGCAAGGGACCTGGCAGGACTCCTCAGCTCACTAGACTTTCCCACAGTAACTTGTATTCTGTCCTGCCAGGAGCCTAGAAGTTGCTCCTTTATGCAAATGCTTTGAGAGGCTGCCTTCTCACCTCTTCTGGATTTGGCTAGAGAGAACATTGGCCCAGAGATCATGATGAATTTTTATTTTATCCATCATTGCCAGGGTATAAGATAAGCTTGTGTTTTGATTTTATTTTAAAATCATGATGCTTCTTCATTATTGGTGTGGGGGAATATTTAAATTACAGGCTGTATGAAAAATGTTCTAATATGTATTATATACTTCAGAACAACTGGCTATATGGCAGGACCTTTTCCTAAAGACAGACTGTTCTGAAAGTAACAAAACTATAGAACTCTAAACATGGTGTCTCTGAAGATGAGCAGGGCTTCTCCAGTGAAGGCTGCAGTCTTGGAATTCTCTTGTTCCTCTAAGTCCCATGCCTATAGTCAGTGTTCCTGCTCACTGTGGCCCTTCACGAGGTCTGACCTCCTCCCTTGCACTTTCTTCATTTTGTTGCTACTTTGTAGTCTTAAAGAATGGCCCCTTGGGGCAATGAAGAAATTCACTCTAATTTTCCTTACATTTTCAAAGAGGATACCTAGCCTGAGAAAGTCTCCACTCTTTCCAGTAAAGCCTCCTTTCTCTGTCTTTCCCCATGAAGACCCCAGAGAACAAATGAGAGTGGACTGTGAAGACAGCAGCTTTTGAAGTATGAAGATAGATTTTTTTTTCCCAAAGGTCTATTTATTTTTAAAGCACATGTGGGTTTTCTATTTTATGTGCACGGTATCTCGGGTTTCAGTGTAAGAGTTAAGTTTGCCCAGTAAATGGAAGCATGTTTACGATGCTATATGTATCTGTTTCTTAGTGTCCTCTCAGGATTCTGGCAGGAGATGGACTCCAACTCAGATGCGTCGATAGGAAGAAGTAAAAAGGAATAGACCAGGAGTGTGGAGGCTCCAGAGTGTAGCTAGCCGTGTTAAACCTGTAGAGACCAGGAGGAAGGGTCATCACAAAGTCCCAGTAAAATGGGAGCCGCTAATGTGGGGCCACTAAGCAGGAGCAGTGGAGGGATTCCTGCCCTGCTGGCAGACAGGTAGCCCTGGAATTTGCTCTTCCTAGGGGTCAGCCTGCCTGGGCACAGACAAAACTAAGACTGCCTCTCCAGAATGGGGGAAATAGAAAGGAATCAGCACATGTGCTTCTCTTTCTTTCGTTCCCTGACTACCCCCAGGGTTTAGCAGCTTCTGGACAGGAATCAGGAGCTTGTTGGGAGATGGACAAGAAAGACTGGATCAATGGTTCAACTGCCATGCTTCCATTCACCTCTTCCTTTATGTCTCATTCCCTGTCCTTTTGAATGCATTTGATTTCTTAGCCCATCTAGGAGAAATAACTGAGTCTCTGCTTCCTGAGCTTGTGTCATCTCTCACCAGATAAACTCAGACTCAGAAGTTGACTCCACTTCCATGCTCTGAACATCTCTGTGTTAGATGATATTCTTTAAGACTCAGTTCTTCCCCAATGCCTTTTCCTCATTTTAAACATAGTTTTTCTTTCATAGCTCCAAGCTCCTTAACAGAGCCACCTGCCTAGCCAGGGCTTCTCTGTCCCAGAATCTCCAGTTCCCTGTCCAGGAACCTGCCAGTCCCAAGTGTTCATCTTCTGGGTGCTTGCCAGTTTTTTCCTAGGGTGTCATTTCCAGACCAAATCTTGATTTCCTCTTCTATAAAGACAGTGGTATTAGACTAGACAACTTCTAAAGTTCCAGCACTCTAAAGATTATCCTATGCAAGTGACATTTTTGGAAAGTAAAGTAGTGTTATAAAGGTTGGTTTTTATGGTAATTATTGTTTAGAGTCAGTTTTTTTAATTTAAGGTCATAAAATGTGATATTTTTACATTTGTTTCTAATAATTAAAAAAGCCTACCAATACTGTTTTCCTTGACAATGTCAAGAACAAAATAAAAATTATCTTGTAATTAAAAAGTAACTCCAAATGTTATTAAACTTATTAGATTTTAAAGTTTTCCAGTGTAATTTGAATATCCAGATACAAACACCCAGTATCCAGACATGAATTTGGGGTTTTTTAAGCTATTGGTTGGGTTTGCTGCTCATATATGAGTCATAATTCATATAGAAACCTAAGAATGATATGAACTGGTATTTATATGTGCCATTTGTAGAATCCTTTATAGGATACTTACTCATTAGGGTGCTATTTGTACCTCTTTTATAATCAATAGCTATCTGATATCTAGGATCATCACCTCATCTATACACTAGTCATATATTATAGGTATTTGAGTTTATAAAAATATTCAGTTATTCCCAGGAAAAAACAACTAAGTGAACCTTGTCATAACATGGAAACACAGGTCTGTTGTCATTTATAGACGAGTAATCAGGAATTCAAGGGCTCAGTTTAAATAAATGATTAGAGCTGACAGAAGATTCTGGCAACAGGGCCCTGATTGCTGGATATTAACTGTCATATGTTTACTTTCAATCTTGACAGTTTTGAGAGTGAAAATAAATCTTTGTTATATGTTCCCCACCCCATAATTATTCATGCTCAGAAAAAGAAAAGCTTTGCACTGACTTGATTGGAAGCTCCTGGTAGTCAGGAACTATTCTCTAAGCCTCACAGCCGTTCATGATTTCATCTGATTTACCATCAGACATATGTGTTCAGGGGTTGCCTTCACGAGACACTGCATAGTGCTGTGACTTCTTGAGTCATTGGTCATCCTCTGTGTAGGGTAGTCCACAGCGTGAGTGACATCCCCTGTGGTCTGATCTACAGCTGGGCAAAGAAGACTGCTTCTCTGCTTAGCCCATCTTGCAAGGCAAATACAGAGTAACTACATTATGACACCGGTCATTTTATTTTCCCAAGCAAAGGCAGCCAACTCAATATGTGTGGATCTTAAGGGACTAGCAGAGAAGCAGATGGTGGGCAATTTTCACTTTAAGCAAAAATGAACTGGTAGCATGCAAATGTCATGCAAAGCAATATGCAAACTCTCACCCATGGCTTTTGAATCATCAGCTCCTTAGTCCTCTGCAGCTCAGTTTAGGAAGGTGTTTTGACTCCATTTTAGAAGGTAATTTCATTTTGTTTCTAGAGAGCTAAGGCACCTAGGAAGCAAAGCCATCACCACTTATTTCAAACAATTTCTGGAGGTTTGGCAACTGGGACTAGGTGAACTCATTCAGATTAGAGAAAGCCACTTAAGATTTGTTAAATTCTCAATTCCATTGTTGCCAGAATTATAAGACAGCTACAAAGTGCTAGGCAAATACTAGGTACTGTAAGAGAAGAACATATTTAATTCTCCCAGTAATATAGTGAGAAGTAGGCGTTGTTACTATCAGATCAATGTAGTTTACAAAAAGTACACAAAAGCGCAGCAAGGTGAAGTGATTTGTCCGAGGTCCCCCAGAACTAAGGAGCAAAGCTGTCATGAAGCCCAGGACTGGGAGTCACAGCACTGTGTCCTCAGTCTCCGCACTGTGCCGTAGCCTTCCATGCTAAGACTCAGGATTTTTGTTGTTTGTTTTGTTTTTCTCATTTGAAAATCTCTAAAGGAAGAATTTCTAATTAATATTTTCTTTCCCTTTTTTTGGCAGCACAGGTTGGACTCAGGGTCTCACACTTGCTAGACAGGTGCTCTACCTTGAACCACACCCCAGCTCCCTATTTATTTTAAAGTAAATAAGTATAAGTAAAGTATAAATAAGTAAAAATCAGTGGCATTGTAGACTTCACTAACGTGGATTATGGGGTATGTATAGGTGAGTGCATAGGTGCATTCAGAGACTGTTTTAAGTGCTTTGCAGTCATCATGCAAGCAAGCTTTGAACGATCCAGTCCATTCATTTATAATACAAGAAAACATGCTCCCTGAAAATGAAGGCTGCTATATCCTTCTAAGGTTCCCAGTGTCTTGAGACCATTTTAAATATTGTGTTTTCATTTTGATAATAGTCTGTTAAAAATAATGTAATCCTCTTCTGGATCTTCTGGATGGCATTCTATGAATGATTACTACCACTAAGCCAGACTCCCATTTTGTTTGTTCATGATTTCTTTAAAACAAGTATCTCACAGCCTCCTTAGAATACAAGGTTACCTTCATATGCTTGAAATCCTTGTAAAAAAGGCAGGGAGGTCAGATGTGCTCGTTAATTAGATGTGTATAACAACAGTGAACAATATCCATGAACTGTTTAAACAAAGCCCATGAGTCCTGCCAGAATGATTTTCTTTAATTTGTCATTTACTCATTTTTAGTTTTCCAGAACTACCCCATTTAAGTTAAAGCTTTCTGTATTAGGTCAGGGTGAATTCCTATGGCAAGTCTGAATATTCTTGAGGATAGGAGTTAGATGTTAAACAAGACTTACATTTTTAAATTCAAAACCAATTACACATCTGTGGTGTTTTCTCTCTCAGGCTTTTTTAGTGATCTTTTACATAATCCCTTAGCTATGCCCATACTCTGTAGAAGGGATTAGCAGAAAGAAAATAATACTATCAAATGATCACAAATATACACATGGACATAGAGACCAACAGACAGTGCAAAGCCATCTGTTTGTCCT